TCGACTGTCAAATTATGATATTATTTACCACAGTGGAGAAGTTTTAGAATTGTTTGTTGGTGCGTCTTCAAGACGGCAACGCCACTTATATGTTATATAGTACTACCATCGGATTGTATGAATTTACGAGTCTATATCCATATACATATTAATATTAAAATCTTGGCTGGTAGTTTGAATATTATTATTTTTCTATGTTATCTATATTACTCTATTTTTTTCTCTACATGATCGATGGCATTGGATATAATATTATTATGAATCGTAAATATCGATGGTTAATGGCTGTACACCAAAATTAAATCGATGTATTATAATACATATAATATTATGTCATGTGCAACGTGGCCTATGTGTTAGCCAACACCCATTCAATCCTTCCTAACGAAGTTACAAATATTAATTGATTATAATGTATGAATAATAAATTTAGATTGTCTCGCGAAAATTAACATTCATATATGATAATATCATATTATTCTAATAATATGTTTAATTTGAAATTCTCATTAGCAAAACTTTAATGCCGTTATTAAGGTTTTCTATCGAATTTAACTTAAATGACTTTTATATTATGCACAATATATTATTATATACCCAGAAGATACCCGTATATAAGTATATAGTCAACAACAATAGCACATGCTTTCATTACTTCTGCAAATTCCATTTCCATCATATCTAATTATTTCATATTTAATAAAAGTACAAAATCCAGTGAGCTCGGTTTTTATGGTTGACTTCAGAGACTTAGAGTTCTGTGGAAATTCCATAAAACTCGGTGTCTAAAAGTTTATGAAACTTTACGCATAATATTATTCCAACGTTTGAATATATATTTTATTTATACATCAAAATAAAAGTATAAAATTGAAGAATTAACACTCTGTTGGCACTTTAACTAATGATCTTTATGCATAATTAATATAAAATTAGAAATAATACAAAACCGTAATATTATGTTTGAGATTTAGACTCTAAATAAAATATAAAAAATATGCAATTACATAAATACCGCATACTAATAATATCAAATTTATTAAAATTAACAATACATAAACTCTACTACTCTAGCAAATAAAATTGTTTAAAATTGAATAAATTAAGTACCTAATAATAAAAGAATATGTATTTTGTGAAGATTATAGATGATTATGCTCAAGATATTTTTTATATTGTACCTAATAATAAAAGAATATGTATTTTGTGAAGATTATAGATGATTATGCTCAAGATATTTTTATAGAAAATGTATCTAAGCTTAAAGGGTGTTCGAAACTCTTCGGAGTTTTAAAAAGTAAACTTCTTAGGTTATGCGAAAATTATTAGTCTAAAGTACCACCTGTGTACATTGTTTTCAATCGATTTATAAAAGTTTTGGAGACATTTTAGTGCTTCATGATGTTTTTATATGAAATAAAATTAAAATTGTGATAACTGTAGACAAAAACAGGACTTTCGAAGAAATATGTTTTAATTTATATGTGATTAAAAATACTATGATGATAATTAATTAGAATTATGCCTTCTAAGTATAAGAAATTATTTAAAATTTAATATGTGACTCAATGGCTGTATTGAAATAAAATATTAAATTAATTAATGATCATATTATTTAAATAGATATTTAGAAATTAAATGAAAATTTAAAAATGAAAATTGATATAACTGTGAAATTAAAGATTTTATTTGAAAAATGATATTTGATTTGTTCCAATAATTATTTATTTATTTATTTTATTCACAAATGTTATTTTATGCATTGTTGTAAATAATAATATGTTAATGCTAAAACGTTTATTTAGGATAAAGTTATATTTATCATACCTACCGAGCAATAGGCGTATTTCATAATGATATATAATATGATTATTCACATATACTTCTCTGTATAATAAGCTTAGTATTTTCATTTTTGAAATATCTATAAAAGACTTTTTATTTACAATATTAATATCTTATTACAGATCACTGTGCATCGGAATACCTCCAAGAAGTGGTTTTTTCACCGTTAAGTAGTTGAGTTCAAACGGTTTAACTGAAATGGTTTATAAAGTTACCATATGAATATCATTTTTTAAATCGATTGAGCCATACTATGTGGTATTGTGGTTCATGTACCATAATGTACCTAGTATTACCAATACCGCAGTGTTTATCATACCGGACTTTAATTGAGAAAGCTTATGTGTTGGCACTATTTTGATAACGATGTTAGGCAAAATTAACAGTAACGGGTAATCATCTATTTATGACAATAATCGGCTTAATATTTCACGATGATCATACAACAACAACTTCAGTCGATCCATTATGTTGTTAAAAGTGCTGAAATCGGCTGTTAAGTGTTTATTTACATGTCCTAATAATTGTTAAAACAAATTAATTGTGTAAATTGTGTAAAATAAACTTCAGTATATTAATATGTTCATATGTACAATGTATAGACTAAAAGGCGCGTCTCTCTAATTGTTTCCAAATGAGTTTCCAACTATACAATTGTTTATTAGAATAACAGTGACAACATTAGAATAATAGAGAGTTCCGGTAATAATACGTTGTAAGTATACTTCAAAATAATTATTCTTTCTCGGGCTTTTATTACTGCAATATTTTTAGTCACCATAATAAATCATTATTTGTCTTTATATATTCCGTACTTGCATTAAATTTATTCATTCGTGTAGATGTGTAGATAGTCAAGTTTGTCCAAAATAAATGTTAATATAAAATATTAATCCAATACTATATACTAACCAAACAAATTATTATTATAATACCTAATTACTATAGTATTTATAATGTTATATAGGTAATTTTTCTAATTGATTCATTGTACCTATTTTTTAACTTGCGATTTATGATTTTGATTTTACTAGTCACGGCGTATTTTAATTAATTTTAATAAATTGTAAACCGTACAGAGTACTCATCAATTAGATGTACCTACCCAAATATCATCATTTTTAATATATGTTTTAATTAAAATTGATATATATATATATTGCATTTATCGATTATCATTTTATGCAATGTACATATCATAGTATTACACATTATTTTTCATTAAAGTAATTTTTAATACAATTCATCAAACTGCAATGGGTATTCTTAAGATCCAAACAGAGATATTAACAAAATCAATTCAATAATTTAATAAACTAATAATAATTCTAATACAATTTGAGTTCTAAATTTTTTTTTAAATTATTGAAGTGCATTGAAGATGATTGAATAATCTAAATATAGGTATTAAAATAATATAATTTACGATATTATACCTGGTATAGAAATATTCAAATATATATTAGTATAGTAAAATCAATTTGTAATTCAGAATTAATTAATTGAATACCTAGGTAAGTTACAATATCGAAAAATAAAAATTAATAACAACGAATATTTTAATAGATAGTACCTGTTTTTTTAAGAAAGTACAATCTATTTTATAGAAAATGCATTAATATAAATAATAATATGATATAAAAATAATGTACAAATTGGTTKTAGGCACGAATGCACGATATAGTGACATGTTTTAATACTTATCAGTTATCAGTTATATGTTAACACTTTTTTGTGTTGATGAAAGGCTCGTAAAGTCTTATTTTGGACAGAACAATAAAGTATTTACAGTGCTTTTTGGTTTTGCAACATAGTTTCTCCAAATGTAACAAAAAATGAAAAATAAACATCAAGTGAAATTGATAGTATTCTCAGATAGGTATTAACCTAGTTTCGATCAGAATTTTCATTCCAATGCTCTGAAATGAAATTTTACAACTTACGCTATTATTCAATGATATAAACACGTTGACTGCCATGCGGCCGCCGGTGTCCGTATAATAATAATTAGGTATTGATAATTTTTAGACCGCCGGCTGCCGCACCATATCATTCGTAGTAGGCCATACAGCCACGGGCTGCCGTAAATTAATTTGAATTTATATTATTAACTTTTCCGTGGCGCTACAATAATGATCTTGAAATATGCTGTGGCGTAGTGGGAATAATTGCAATTTTTTTTATGCAATAAACATAATTTTAACATTTTTTTTTCAAATTCAATAGTATATATACAAATACAAATTTATAATGACACTGAAAAATGTCTTTGGCGTACCCATGATAAATATTCTTGAGCCGCCAGCAGCTGTATGGCAGTCAACGTGTTAAGGAAGTCTGCATTATCCAAAGGTTTCATCGAGTTTGCTTGAACAGCTATGTAAAAGTTCATGCTTTTGAATAGATCCTAGTTATGATGTTAATATCTTAATAACTTTATTTTTATTTAAATAATTTGTATTTGAGTAGTGTCTTTAAAATGTATTTCAATTTTAAATCTTTCATCAGCATTAAGAACAGTTAATTTGAATTGAATAATTTCAAGCTAATGTAGGCATGTAGCAAATGTTTTTAATCAAACACAAATATTTATAAGAAAAAATAACCATTTTTTATCCTGAGATTTTAAAAATTAAAATAAATTATACTCGTTAAAATCAATCAATTTATATTTCATCTTTTGATAGGTAATACATAATGCATACGCAATTATTAATACATATATAATATATGAAAGGTACGAACATAAATAATATAGTATAGAATTTCTAAACAGAAATTTGAAAAAAGTAAAGACAAAAATAACATTGATATTTTGAAATAAATAACGTTTAGGCACTACTATGAGCTTACTACGTTCTTTATAGTTAAAGACCTAATTCCCAAAACCTAAATTATAATTACACCAATAAATTGAAAGATGCCTATATTTTGGTTATATATTTTTTTCTTCTGAAATTCACTTTTTTGCTATTTATTATTAAACAGATTTATTTTTTAAGAATACTGTAAATAATAATAAACCAAAATTCAAAACAAAAAAAATTTTGACAAACTTAATGTTCAATGAATAGGATAATTGTCCGTGATAACAGATTTAAAATAATATATTGATGATTTACAAATTTGAAATTATAGTAACTATCAAACAATAATAATAGATTATAATTTTATAATTTATAAAAATCGATGAGCACTCCAAATTAAAACACTAAACTTAATATTAAATTTATTCAATATTTAATAAAATACCATGGTTATAAGAATTATCTTGAAAAACTAAGTTTATCAAGACACTACATAAATGGTATAAGAAATAAAGGTCCATGAAAATATCGTCTTTTAGTAAACTTAAATATTCCAAAAATCAGAATTTGAATAATTGCATTATAAAAGGATAAACGGGGGTAAGCGTGCTTGGTAAATACCTCTTTATATAACAATATAATGTTTTTAAAAATCATTCAAAGTATAAACGTTTTTATTTTATTTAAAGACGTTTTCCTTTTTCAACAGTAAATAGTTGATGGAAGGTGGTTCCAAGATAACCGGTAGTTGCTTGAATATTTGCTTGTAAGTTTATAAAAAGCCTAAAACAAAAATATAGTAATTAGTAGGCGATTTACACGAATTTGTATAATCATTAATGTTGCATTATAGTTTTTGATGTGTACTGAAAATAAGATAGGTAGATACCATGTATAATAGAAAAAAAAACATGACTCACAGTTATCGTTATATTTGATTAAAACACAATGGTCAGATTCATGAAAATCCAACAATTTTCATTTGTGTTATATAATTTGAAAGTTTTAAACTAAAAATTGAGCATTAAAATCTTTGTTTTAGTTTACTATAATATTGACATTTTGTTGAATATTATTTTATTTTTCTCGTACTTCATGAACTGTATACGATTTATTCGTTAAAAAATAATAATAATTAATCACAACGCAGCTCGCCTTGCACGCCTTAAGAGGTAACATAATTAAATTCAGGCGAATTAATTATATGTACACAGGGTGGTTTATTTATCGACATCCAGCTATTTAATGTTTGTTTTATGCTTTTAGATGTTCATGCATATTTTAAATCATGGAAATTTTTTTAAATAATTTGACCAAAAAATTAATGTCATTTTATACCAGGGTAACATAATGTCTGGTAGACGATAAAAATTAACTTCTGTGGTAAGTTTGCATAGTTAGTCATAAAATATAAATACAATTAATATTAATTTAATAAAATAAATATTATGTTACATTTAACTGTATGATACTTTTATGGTACATCGGTCGATTACAATGACGACGCATAGGCGCCAGGTATTGAATATTTCGTGGGGAGGTAGGGCTGAGTTATGGCCCACTCATTGTTTTTAAAAACCGTTTGAATTTATCATTATCAACCATACCGACTAGCTAACGGTTAAGCAAAAAAAACAAACAAAAATGATTTTTAAACAGTATTGCATTCTCTTAATTTTATATTTTAATCAATTAGTGTGCTAATCGTGTTTCCGATACTTGATCTATATCTATCATGTTTTCAAAATAAATAATTGTATTTGATAACATATTTTGAATGTAAATGAACAAAATGTATTGCGTTATATTTATTTTTTTGTCGAATCTTACCTCTCTTTCGGAATTCCAAGAGTTTGATGTATATAGTCAGTTATAACTTCAATATGTTTGGGATTCTCTTCTGGTGACAAACTCCCAATGCTTGTTACTTGAATAAATCCACATGGGTCATTGGATCCACCAACTGTCATTTTTACACCCGGGTTCACTGTTGATATGCAATACTATAAATAAGCAACAGTTTTCTATTAATTATTATTCTTTGACATTATAAATAAATGCAATCAAAACACATAACTAATTAAAATCATTATAATATTTTATTCGTTTAAATTTTGTTTGTATACAATTAACTAAAAAATAACAAAGCAATACAATTTTAAAAATTAATAAGGGAATTATTATTTTTATTTAGTATTGTTTTATTTTCCAAAGTTAAAAAGATCACAAAACATAATTTATTTTCATTTTAAATATTATTGAATTAATTAAGATTTTTAGTCACATAAACTATTCAATCAAAGTGTATGACAAGGTAACTGAAACACAGCTATTGTAAATACGTGTATTAAAAAATGTTCAAAATTTAAAAAGAATTTATTATATTATTATACTCACTGATTGTCTTTTCCCTAAACTTTTTGAAATAAGAGAAGTGCATGTGCTCAAAAATTCTTCGGGAATTTTTGAAGCTGGTAAATTTGTGTCTAAGCTTAAACGTGGCATTTTTTTATTTTACAGAACGTATTAAACCAGTTAAAAATTAACTCAATACTAGATCATAATACAATGAAGCTTTCATATTTATGTCACTTACAAAAACATTGACATAATTTAAAATTTTGAATAATTTTTTTTATCAACTGATAAAATAATATTATATAAGTAATAAAAAAAGTGCATGATAAAATCTAAAAGTCTCGTACCTATTAATAAGATATTATTAAATAATAGTCAATAATACAAAAAAAAAATCATCGAAAAAAATATTTATTTTAAATTAATTGCACCTTATCTATTATACGTAATTCAATTTATTTATTTTTTCTATTTAACTAGGAATATTATTGGTTAATTAAGTTATGTTAATTAAAGATATAACTCGTTTTAAACTATTCGTTATGAAATTGTGACATTGAGTTATGAAATGATGCGTAATCCTATGTTATATATGATTTAAATGTTGTGTAACATCGGTGTGATAATTATAACGTAAAAGATTATTGCATTTTGTCTGTAGCAAATTATTTATTTTTATCAATTGACATTTGTAAATAAATGTTTTGTTCAAATTGTTTAGTGCATTAAACTATAATCCTTAGCTATATACAAATTACATAGAATAAAATATTGATTTGTCGATTATTTGCTTTTTTTGTCCGACATATCATTTTTACTTCAATATATTAATTAACTAACTAAATAGTATATAATATTTTCAAAGATTTTACAAAAGTAAGTTACTTATACAAGAAAATCAAAAAACTGTTAATCCACGGGAAGATAATATTGTTTTCATTATAATCGTCATTCTACGCCATATACAATTTTGATAAAAATATAGTCACTTTCCGTAAGTTCAAACCTTTTCGGTAATAAATTTAGTAAGTGTAATAAGTTGTAATAATAATTTTTGAGTAACTATTCGGTATTGGTGTAAACTTCAAACACACTTTCCCATGCATTGTCTATTTATCTATGAAAATTTTCAAGGATAACTAGACAAATTTTAAAAAAAAAAACGTTTCAGAAGGGAATTTTTAGTCATCAACAAGGTGAATAACTGCAGATTGTACAAAAACAAAAGAAATTTGTGCCATGTTACCAAGATAAAAAAGAAGTAAAGATAAGAACGGAGATTATGTTGAAAAATAGTATATATACTGCTGAAAGTTGATACGTTTAAAAAAAAAATGTTTTGCAATTTTTGATTATTCCTCCTGAACCCGGTTATAGGAAACTTAATGTTTGGATAACACTTTGTCTGTATCAAATAAATCCATAATCGTGTTTTTTTAAACTAAACTATAACTTATAAGATCGTTTATTTATTATTTAACACATTTTAATGAATATACGACACTTAATAGTACATGTAAAATTATTTATGTATAATTATATAAGAATTATGACCAATTGAAAATAATAAAAAACTGTTTTAGTGAGGAAAATAGCTTAACAATTTATAATTTAATTAAATCTGTTAAATTATGTGTTACAGGCATAGAATATATTATAGGTACCTAAATAATTTATAAATAAATAATCAATAAATTATTTTTAAAGTCTTAATGTACCACTTTCAAGTTATATTTTTAAGTAAAAAGTTTTATTTTAAAATGTTATAGATGTAACAATTTTAAAATAATAATTAATTTTTTGATATAAATAGATGTTATATGAATTTTCAATGATTTATATTTGCAATTTTTTTTTTTTGCTTTATCAGACATTTATAAGTTTAATTACTGTACCGGTGCCCACCCGTACATTTTGTGTGTTACATCGTTACATGTCATCGGTTTCGGGAATATGTTAATAGAATTGCATACTGCGTTTTTCAATCATATGATATTTTTATCCCCAGTAAAAGAAAATTTAACAAACAAAATATACTTTTATTTCTACAGCTTTTTTAGATTCTGAGCGGAGCGATGAATGTATTGATTTTACCATGATGTGTGTGTGTTTTTTTTTTGTGTCTGTCATCACGTTTTGGAGCAGTAAAAATGCTTCTGACTTCAGTACCTCGTTCGATCAGAAAGTGAATCTAGTTGGTACTTTGGGGGGTCAAAAGTAAAAAATTTTTAATACTTTTCAAAAAAATTGAGAAAAACAAACTAAAAATTAAGGGAAAAACGGGAAATTTTACGCACACTCATTTTTCGACAAAATCGATTTTGGTTTTTGATGTAACTTTAAAACAAATGACCATAGATACA